ACTTTCTTTTAAAGAATGAAAGGTTTGGGAGTTAAGAAAATCTGCAGTTCTTGCAGAGGACCCAGGTTTGGTTCCTGGCACCCACATGGTCACTCCCAACCATCTGTAACTCAAGTTCTAAGGAACCCGACACCCTCTTCTGGCCTCCACCTGCACCAGGTACACACATGGCACACATACATTACATGTAGGCAAAAGACTCGAACACACAAAATAAAAATAAGTGAAAAATTTTAAAAAGCATTTAAACAGGAAGATTAAGCAGGTTGGCGGCTTATACCTGTAATCCAAGTACTCCAGGGAGCTGAGGCAGGAGAATCACCACCAGTTGAGGCCATCATGAACTACATAGTGAGTTCTAGACAGCCTTGGCTACAGAGTGAGACTTTAAGAAACAAACAAAGACAAAAGGTTCATTTTGGCTCCAAGTTTCCATCTATAGCATGTGCCCTGTCCCTTTGGAGCCTGTGGCCAAGCAGCATGTCCTGGAGGGACACACACTAGAGCAGATCATTCTATTCATGATCAGGAGACAGAAGGAGGAGGAGATGGGGGAGTGGAGTGAGGGCGGAGGATGATGAAGGAGAGAAGGGGGCAAAGAGGCATGGAGCAGAATCCCACAATCTTCCTCCAAGTTCCGTTTCCAGTGACTTGAACCCTCCACCTCTTCCCCCTTTAAGGTTCCACCAGCTGCCAATAAGGGGACCAAACCTTCAGTACATGAGCCACTGAGGGAGGTCCCACCACCAAACTATTGAACGGGACTTCACTGGGCGCCATGTCTAATAAGCCAAACCTTTACTTTATTGTACAAATCCTCACATCTCCAGTGTATCTACATTCCCCCGCCAGCACTCTTCACGAGAGCGGATGGAAGAGCTCGTTGCTACACATCAAGCTCTCTGGGAACTTAGCACCTTCTTCCAAAGATATCCACGCCCTTCAGGGCTGCCGGTTTTCCTCTGAACCCTTATGACACCTTTTTCTTTGCTGGCAACCTTCTCAACTCCTCTTTATCTCCTCTGTAATCCTCATGTATGTCCCCCCTCATCTTCACGCAACGTACCAGAAGCCCCTTAAAGGTAAGAAGGCTATTCTATTCATCTTCATGTCCCCTCCGCCTGCGACAGTGCCCAGCGCCTGGTAGGTAGTCAATAAGCGTTTATTGTGTGCCTTAGTTGGAATCACTACAAGGGCAAACATCTGTCAATGTCTCTGAACTGACGTCATTAGATGGACAGGGGAGGAGCCCCGGGGACAAAACTCAAAGGAGAAACAAAGGAGGTGCTATGATGAAACAGGAGAGAAAGAATGTGTGGCAGCCACCAGGGCCCGGTGATCGGTTATTCCAGGATTCCTTTCTCTAATCAGTCTCCCATGTCCAGACCAGGCAGGTGGTCACTCTGAGAGTTCCCACTTCAGGGGCATGCTTTGGAACCATGCAGGAGAGGCAAATTAAACAGGATCGCAAAGAGCACCTTGCTCTGCCAACGTTCGATAAGGGCTAAAATGTTCCCCTCAAGTCGTTACTGGGAGAAGGAATTGAGTCATAAAGAAGCACCATAGATGCCAGACAGGATGGTACATGTCTGTAATCCCAGCCCTCAGCAGGCTGAGGGAGGATGGCCAGAGCTTCCGGGCCAGCCTGGGATACACAGCAAGTTCAGTGACCACCTTACACAGTGAGACTCGGTCAGATAAATAGAAATGTCTGTAAGCATGGAGGGTGAGAAGAAAGTCCTGCTGAGGCACCCGTGCCCACTAAAGAGGATAAAAATCCCACCTAGGTAAACAGAATCAGGGTCTGAAAGCAAAGGTACAGGAGACCATTAAAGGGTGCCAGGTCAGAAACATGTTCCCAAGAAAAGCAGTTCTGGGATCGATGCCCTGGGGGTGGAGGCCAGATATTTCTTTTTCGAATTTTTTAAATTGATTTATTGTGTGTTTAAATGTGTGTAGGGGTGTGTGTGTGTGTGTGTGTGTGTGTGTGTGTGTGTGTGTGCACGTACAAGGCATGGTGCATGTGAGAAGGTCAGAGGACAATTTGTGGAATTTGGTTCTTTTCTCCATGTGAGTCCAGGGTACTAAACTCAGGTCATCAGGCTTGGTGGCAAGCTCCTTTTAACCACTGAGCCATCTCAGTGGCCCATAGTTATTTCTTAACTAAAAGATGCATTTTAAAAATCCATAAATGAAAGCCGGGCGGTGGTGGTGCATGCCTTTAATCCCAGCACTTGGGAGGCAGAGGCAGGTGGATCTCTGTGAGTTCGAGGCCAGCCTGGTCTCCAAAGCGAGTTCCAGGAAAGGCGCAAAGCTACACAGAGAAACCCTGTCTTGAAAAACCAAAAAAAAAAAAAAGAGCAACC